TAAATTAAAACTATATATTTTTCTAAACCCCCAGTTTTTAAAAATTTATTTTTTTGTGTTTTCTTTTTTCCCCCCGGGTTTGTTTTTAGGGAAAAAAGATTACTCCCCAATTTAAAGGGTGTTCTTAAAATGGGCAAAGGTGATTGTGAAATTGAAAGTCTGTAACCTGTAATAAAATCATATGTGGTGAAAACAAAATAAAAAATATAGAAAAAAAAGAAATTTGATTTTCAAAATGCTGAATTTGTAAAAATAGAAATTTCCCTTTAAAAATTTTTGGGAATATTTAAAAAAATATTTGTGGAAAGAATCTTGTCTTACAAAAATTTAAAGGTAGATTTAAACGTTTTGGGAAAGTAGATAAAGGGGCCTTTAGGGAAATTTTTTTGAGTGATGTTAAAATGTTTAGTTTTAAAATTTTGCTCTTTTTTAAAGGGTTGTTATATTGATTTTTCCCTGATATAATTTTTTTTTTAGTCAAAAAAGAAAAATTTGTTAAAAAAGATAGCAGCCTCCTTTATAACTCCATTTGAAATATCCCACAATCTCTTTTCAAAATTTGGGTCTTTTGAGTAAAAAGTCAATGTTATAGATTGACTTTTATTGACCAGGATCAGGATGTTTCCCATGTCAGTTGATGTTTTAAATATTATTAGATACTGACTACAGTTAAACAGATATTTGATAAAGTCAGAAAAACCCTCCGCGGTTATATCTTCTATCTTTTGTTTTTTCTTGCTTGTATAAATTGTTAAAATTATTACCTGTTTTTAACAATTTGATGCTTTTTTTTAAGGGAAATTTACAAATATTAAAGTTAACTGGAGCTTTAATGTTGATAACTATTGTTGCTTGCCTATTTATAGATTTGTATTTAGTTGATTTAGTTTAAATTTCTTTACAGGTAGATAAAATGCTATATCGGACAAGATGGATATTATCATGTTGTTTTTTTTTCTAAAATGTGTTAATTTCTGGTATGATTTAACATGCCACATTGTATTATTTGTCTTCTATCATATGCATCCTTGAAAATATAGTTTCTCAAAAAGTCAGTCGAAATTGTTGTTTATTATGGTATGTTTGGTCAGTTGCACCGGGGGGGGGGGATAAGTTTATCACACCACACCAAAGCAGTCTGACAGCTTTATCCTGTATAAACATGAATGTTTAGTTTTTAACCTTTTATTATCCCCTGCCGAAAAGGTGGCGGGGGATATAGTAATAGTCTCCTTCCGTCCTTCCATCCGTCCTTCTGTCCGACATTTTTGTCCGGAGCATATCTCTAAATGTATTTGAGGTATCAACTTGAAACTTCATAGCTGGATGGATCTCATTGAGGAGGAGTGCAGTGCACAAGAATGATAACTCTACCCTGCATAATTTTTATACGCCGTTTGAAAAACGGGACATATTATGGGAACGCCCCTGGCGGGTGGGCAGCGTCCAATTTTGTCCGGAGCATATCTCCTACATGTATGGAGGGATTTTAATGAAACTTCATAGAAATGTTCACCTCTATGAGGAGCAGTGTCGCGCACAGATGAACCAGGTCTCTAGGTCAAAGGTCAAGGTCACACTTAGAGCTCATTGAAAAATGCTTGTCCGGAGCAAAACTTCCACATGTATAGAGGGATTTCAATATTACTTGGCACAAATGTTCACCATTGTGAGGCGGAGTGTCACGGGCAAGATTCAGGTCTTTGCGGCCAAGGTCAAGGTCACACATAGAGGTCAAAGTTCAGATAAAAATATGAAGATGTGTATATGGACCATTTAGTCATCATTTATTGGGGGATTGTAACACAAATGGTCATTATCAAGACTATGGCTGTGATACATATAATTTAGGTCAATATATACAAGGTCAAGGTCACTAAAGATGATGAAATATCCAGATTTTGTCTCGGAGCATATCTCCTACACGCATGGAGGGATTTTAATGAAATTTCATAGAAATGTTCACCATTATGAGAAGCCATGTCACGCACATGAACTAGGTCTCTAGGTCAAAGGTCAAGGTCACACTTAGAGCTCATTGAAAAACGCTTGTCCGGAGCAAAACTTCCACATGCATAGAGGGATTTCAATATAACTTGGCACAAATGTTCACCATTGTGAGGCGGAGTGTTGCGCACAAAATTCAGGTCCCTGCAGCCAAGGTCAAGGTCACACATAGAGGTCAAAGTTTAGATAAAAATATGAAGATGTGTATAGGGACGATTTAATCATCATTTATTGAGGGATTGTAACACAAATGGTCATTATCATGACTACGGATGTGACACATGTACTTTAGGTCAATATATGCAAGGTCAAGGTCACTAAAGATGGTGAAATATCCAGATTTTGTCTGGAGCATATCTCCTACATGTATAGAAGAATTTTTAGAATACTTAATGGAAATGTTCACCACCATGATATGTATTGCTCCATGCATGATCCAGGTCAAAGGTCAAGGTCACACTTAGAGCTCATTGAAAAAACGCTTGTCCGGATGCAAAACTTCTACATTCATAGGGGGATTTCAATATAACTTGGCACAAATGTTCACCATTGTGAGGCTGAGTGTCGCACGCAAAATTCAGATCCCTGCGACCAAAGTCAAGGTTACACAGAGGTCAAAGTTCAGATAAAAATTTGAAGATGTTTATAGGGACCATTTAGTCATCATTTATTGATGGATTGTAGCACAAATGGTAACTATCATGACTACAGGTGTGACACATTTAATTTAGGTTAATATTTGCAAGGTCAAGGTCACTGGAGATGATTAAATATCCAGAAGTTGTCCGGAGCATATTTTCTACATGCATGGAGGAATTTTAATGTTACTTTATAGAATTGTTCACCACCATGAGACGTAGTGCCCTGCACATGAACCAAGTCTCTAGGTCAAAAGTGAAGGTCACAGTTAGAGCTCATAGAAAAACGCTTGTCTGGAGCAAAACTTCTACATGCATAGAGGGATTTCAATATAATTTGGCACAAATGTTCATCATTGTGAGGCTGAGTGCCGTGCATAAAATTCAGGTCCCTGCGACCAAGGTCAAGGTCACACATCCTGTGCATATCTTCCCTACTGATTTGTTTTAAGGTTCATTTAACAACACAGTGCCAAGAATAATAACTTGCTTGCTAGATAACACTTATCCATAATGCCCCCATCTCCATCTAAAGCTTTTGTAAACGGGCGTATTTTGTGACTATGGCACCCTTGTTTAGTTATTGCCCTTTGTTATTTTTCAAAATTAATTTTTGTCCAGAGCATAACTCAAAAAGCCTTTGAGATATCAACATGAAACTTCATAGGTGCATAGATCTCACTCAGGAGGTGTGCAGTGCTCAAGAATGATAACTCTACCTTTCATAATTTTTGAGTTATTGCCCTGTTATTTTTCATACCTAATTTTTCACCCGAGTGGAGCGTAACTCAAAAGTGTTTGAGATGTCAACATGAAATGTCATAGGTGGATAGATATTATAGAGGTGGAATGCTGTGCACAAGAATGATAACTCTTCCCTATACAATTTTTGAGTTATTCCTCTTTGTTCTTTTTCATAATGTTTTGTCCGGAGCTTATCTCAAAAAGTATTTGAGGTATCAACTTGAAACTTCATAGCTGGATGGATCTCATTGAGGAGGAGTGCAGTGCACAAGAACGATAACTCTACCCTGCATAATTTTTAGTTATTGCCCTTTGTTATTTTTTCAAAATTATTTTTTGTCCAGAGCATAACTCAAAAGGCCTTTGAGATATCATTATGAAATTCATAGGTGCATAGATCTAACTCAGGAGGTTTGCAGTGCACAAGAATGATAACTCTACCTTTTATAATTTTTGAGTTATTGCCCTTTGTTATTTTTCATACTTAATTTTCAATTTAATTTTTTTTTCTAAAAGTATTTGAGGTATCAACTTGAAACTTCATAGGTGGATAGACTTTACTGAGGAGGGATGCAGCACACAAGAATGATAACCTACCCTGCATTATTTTTCAGTAATTGCCCTTGTTATTTTCAGCCATCAGTATTCACATAGGTTTCAAATCTGTAATCACTATAGCCATCAGTTTTCATTACCAAAGACCTTAAAATGGAGTTATTCTGCTCTACTACATATACATTCTTCCAATGAGCAAACACATTCGGCGGGGGGGGTGGCATTGTTTGACATGGCTCTTGTTGACCATGACATTGGTGATTAATATGGCGGTTTCACTATGCAAATCTTCAGGCCATTGTATTATAGTGTTAGTTATTTTGTCCAAGTTACTTTAAAATCTTCCTAAATTTAAAAGAAGTATGAACCAGAACATTTGACCTCTGTTTGACATTGACCTCCGTTTGACATTGACCTTGGGAAGTAACATGGATATTGCACTTCACACTGTGCACATTGTGTCATACTACAAGGTGATCATTTGTGCCAAGTAATTTTAAAACTTTCCAAATAGTCAATCAGTTTATGTAGCAGACATCTAACCATTTGTGTTGGTTTCTACATCAAAGAAATCTAACCAGATGAATTGGTTTCTATATCAAAGTAATGGTTTTGCTCATGCTTAATACTAGTATGTCTTTGACAAGGATTTAGGTTTTTATTTTGGCTTCCATTTACATTATGTCAGAACATTGATGTAACTGCCGTATCTGTGAAAATATATCTGATAAAAATTCAATTCTAACCACTGTCTCATATTTCTGGCAATTTTCACCTCTGCAGTTTTGATCTATTCTTTCAATGAAGTTCATAGGAACTTATTCACACTCCTATCGTAAAAAGTGGTGTAACCTTATCAAGAAAATTGACTGATATTCTGATTATTTGATACATGCTTGATCAGAAAGGAAATGGTGTGAAACGTGTTAGAAATTGATAAGTGTTTCTTTTTTTTCTCAGAAATGACGCATTTCCCTGTTAAATCTCATTGGGTCTATTATTTAAACCGAACGTGATCTCAATAGCAACATTTTCTCTTTCATTTCTGCTATGAAAACAAGTCGATATGTCTGCTTCGGTTATTTTCTTTTTTATTTTAGCGGGTGTTACATTTGACTGTGTAACAGGTCGGGTAAGATCTGCGCGTAGAAATATTCAAGGAATTTCGATGAGGGAACTTTCAATTAGTTCTTCTGCTTCCTTCAGATATGCCCATGTACTCGTGCGGAGCCTCGTTGAAAATACCGACACATCGGACCACGAGCTTATGTTTCGAGTGAGAATTCCTTACGAAGCATTCATCACGAATTTTTCGATAATCACTAACGATAACACGTATAACGCTATCATCAAAGACAAGAATGCAGCTTACGAAGAATACCAGAAAGCGAAGGAAGATGGAATCAGTGCAGGTACCATTACTCAACAGACGAGTGTTGCAGACGACAGAGATAGGGATATCTTCAGGGTCAAGGTAAACGTTGCTGCGCAGACGACACTTGAATTTCGGCTTCATTATGAGGAAATGCTCTTGAAGAATGCTGGAAAATATTCTCAGAAGATTTACATTGATGTAAATTCTTTTATAGTACCACAGCTAGAAGTTATATGTGAATTAAAAGAAAAACAAAGTTTAAGGAAGTCACATATCAAACCCCTTTGAGTGTCGAAAGTATATATTCGGATGATGAAAAAGTTACCGAAGATGGATATTATATCAGGAAATTTGAATGGAAAGTTAGTGAGGCAGATCAAATAGCGGCCAACGATGGTTTTATGAAACCTTTCGAAATAGAATACGAACTAGAGCCTTCGGAAAATGGGGGAATGGTATACATTAATGACAATGGTGAATTTGTCCATATGTTTTCAACGCCGTGCGAAGAAGCCAATGTGATGATGAAACAAATTGTTTTCGTTATTGACATCAGCGGTTCAATGGCTGGCAATCCAATAAAGCAGGTTAGGGCAAACAATGTATGAAATATTCAAGCTTCTCCGTTCAAATGATTTTTTAACATTATCATATTCAATAAAGATGCACTCCTCTGGAATCAGCAATTTCAAAAAGCCACTGTTTTGAATATTGAAAGTGCTACATTATTCGTTGAGAAAAAGTGGTGGCGGAAGGGTCTACTAATATTAACGATGCCCTTTTAAAAGCTGTCGCATTGTTTGGTCAAGAACAAGATGGAGATGACCGAGTCGGACAAATAGTTGTTTTCTTAACTGACGGAGAACCAACAGTCGGAGTACAGAACCCCAGATCGAATCAGGAGAAATGTTCGCGACAAAAACTAATTATGGAGGAAAAAGAGTGTTGTAAGTCGAGTATTTTCACTATCGCCTTTGGTTTCGGGTGCTGCAACAGACTTTTTAGATGCTCTTCCAACGAAAATGAAGGTTTCTTGAAAGTAATAAGGGACAAAAATGACGGTGAAGACATTCTTGAACTATATAACGGTGTAGAAAACCCTTACTTAAAAGACATCATTTTTAGTTTCAAAGCGGGGGACGAAGATGTACCGGAAGAAAACACAACTCGTACAGAATACCGACAATACGACTGTGGAAATGAGATAGTTGTTGCGGGTTCGACCTTTCCTGGTGCGGATCTTCGTCCAGTAATTCAGGCATCCAATAACAATGGCACAGTAAGTTATGAGGGTATGCAGATAATACGAACTGCCGCTGTGGATGAAAATCGCCTGTCGCGTCTTCTTGCCTATCAAAGAGTCAAACAACTTCTCAAACAGGCCGAAATAATTTTAGATGGTAACAAGCTTAGCTCAGAATTAATGAAGGAAAATGCTCTAAATATATCGTTGCATTATGGATTTGTAACACCACTGACATCTCTAATAGTAACGGAATATTCGCCTAAAAAGATGGCATCACCACCAGCAAACCGTATGGGAGCACTTGCTAAATCACAGTCCGGTTCGTCGAAATCCGTGCAGTATGATTTATCAAACTTTTTTTACGATGATACGGACTTTGATCAGCAGGATATAAGAAATAAAACAAATTCCGCTAACAACTTTGCTGTCAACAACAGCATGTGCTTTGTCCTCTTTATGGTCATATTGAGTCTTTATTAAAGTCCATTCTAGCTATTGCTCATTTTTATTTTTACACAATTAGAATAACTGATCAAACAAAAAAGGAAATATTAAAAATTAGAGAAGAAACAAATAAAAGAGGACAATGATATAAATTTTCATGCAAAGGACAAGTAACAACACTTAAACACTTAGTCATAGAGTTGTGGATTCTTGGGACACGTAAAATTCTGAGGTCGTGGAAGCTACAACACTGAAGTCAAGCCAAAATTGAATGAATAGTAGAACCCCCCCCCCCCCCCCCCCCCCCCCCCCCCCCCCCCCCCCCCCCCCCCCCCCCCCCCCCCAAAAAAAAAGTGCTTTCAAACCAAGTGAAGTTAAATGAATCAAATTAGCAACATACAAACTTGATTGAGTTTAACTAGTTTGTTACAAGTTATTGTAGGCGTAAATACAAACTATAATGATGTAAATAAACTTGAAACACTCAAAATAATGAAAAATACAAATGAACTATTAACAACAAACAAATGGTTACCCTCATGAAGGAGTATGGAAGAATAATAACGATCACAAAAACGACCAAAGAAGTTTAGCTTAGCATCATTGATGTTGTTTTGTTCCGACCTGAAATACTACATGAACTACATATATGACATAAGATCCGATTAACATAAAAGTGGATAGGCCTGCAATGGGCCCATTTTTCATATGTATTTCAAATATTGATAGATTTAACACTAGAAATGTATTGGTTTTGGATATTCCTATGAAGTAATTTTTTACTTGAAAAAATAATTTTGATAAAGTCCAAAGTGATTTAGTATGAACGTTTATATGATGAAGAATAATATTTTGTTCTAGAACATTTTATTGTCTGATGCATATGTTGTATCGAATCACGTATGGTATCTCACACTTGCAAACAACATCCATATATATATATGAACATATATAATTCTTCGTGGTTTGTTGTCATGTCTAATACTAAAACCTATTATTGCATTTTACTGTATAAAATACTTTACCTTAGAGACCAACTCATTTTAAAGTAAAAACACACCCGAAAATGAATTATTAAACATGGTTACATCTTCATCACATATGTAAGACAATGGACATGGTCATGTACGTAATAAATAAAAATAATTATGTGTGTTTCTTTGATTAATACTTGTACATGTGCGATATTGTAAATACTTGTCAAATAAATAGTGAAGTAGTAGAAGTTCTGTTGCTTTTGTTGTTGTTGTTTTTTTAGTTTGACTTTTTTTCTGACTTTTGCTGTTTTACGTATGTTTTTTATTTGTATGTTGTTTTTAGTTGTTGTTTGCTTGTTTTTTTTTTGTTGTTGTTTTTTTGTTCTTTTTATGTTATGTCGTTTTTTAAACAAACGTCCCTGTGCCTCGCGCAGTATCGATTTATATCTCTCCGTCTGATTACATTTTTCGCAAGGATGTACAGGTGCAAACCCGGGTTTTAGTATGGTGAATGGCGGGCGGTTGTGCGGGGAAAATTTTTGGTAACAGTTTTCTCAGCAACTACTTATCACAGCCACTTGATATTTGGCACACAGCATTAAAGATCCTGTATGTTTTGTGATTGATATTGTTACTGTGTGTATACCACACTTGCAAAAAAAATATATATGTATATGATTATGCAAATAAAACAATTTTCAAACATCGAAGAATATGTAAAATGTGTACTGCAAATATTTGTGCACATTATATGTAATCAATAAACTACATGCATTCATTTTTTATTGGAAAATTTGACTTGGAATTTATAGAAAATAAATCTCTAATTACCTCCCTTTATTTACATGAAATGTTGATTTATAAATAATGCTTATTGGAACTTACAATATTGACAAATCTTAATTTGAGCATCATATTTATGAAATAAAACCATGAAAAAATTGTGTTACAGGATCTTTAACATGCGGTCCCATACAGTGGGATTCAATAAAAGGTCTGTCGCCCATCCACATCCTGTCTGCCGACTTAGTTAAATTTTCGACATTAATGGCCAATGGTAGGAAATTTTTGCAACAGTTTTCTCAGCAACTACTTATCACAGCCACTTGATATTGGTACACAGCATTGACACATGGTCCTATACCGTGGGATTTGATTTCAGGTCTGTCGCTCATCCACTTCCTGTGTACTGACTTAGTTAAATTTTCGACATTAATGGTCAATGGACAGTTTTCACAACCTCTTGAAATTAAATATACAGCATTAACACGTGGTCCCATACCGTGGGATTCGATTTCAGGTCTGTTGCACATCCACTTCCTGTTTGGCGACTTAGTTAAATTTTCGACATTAATTGTCAATTGTAGGAAATTTTCGTAACCATTTTCTCAGCAACTACTTATCACATGGTATACAGCATTAACACGTCGTCCCATACCATGGGATTCACAGGTCTGTTGCTCATCCACTTCCTGTTTACAGACTTAGTTAAATGTTTAACATTAATGGTCAATAGTAGAAAATTTTAGTAACACCAAAGCCTCATGATAATTTGGTATCCAAATGCAATCCGGCTTTTCTGTCTTTGACCCATTTTTCTTAATTTTCGGTCCTCAGAAAGATCTATCTTACTTTCTGTTTTAATGTCATTTTTCAATATAAACACCAAAGCAAAAGTCTTTTCTACTTGCTTTGCGTATTTGACTCTTCATGTAATTAAATCACTTTTTTAAGGAAAATAAAAGATGCTTATGAAGGCCCATTATGCTTTAGAAATGCTTTTTTTATTTCTCAAAAACTTTTTATTTTTCGTGTCCTGTATAGTTTGCAAAAGTTACTCAATTATCTGAACCATCTTTTGCTTCTGTTGCCTATTTGGTAATTGGTTTAAGTATTTTGCACGGAAGTCAAAATACTACTTTGTTTACATTTTGCTACCTTTATGACACATACTTTCACATTGAGAACTTTTTTCTGCAGGTGATGAGCATCTAACATTGTCTAAAACCATTATTACAACATTATAAAACTAATGTTTGCCCATTGCAAAAAAAATATTTTTTTTAAATTCTGAGGCATAATATATGTGGCTTGAACGCACAGATTATTTAACATGAACTATTTATTTATATACGACAATGTATATTTGATCACAAATTAGTTCGAATTCGTACAGTTGTCTGTCCAAGTATAAATGTCCCTTACATCTTCAACAGAGTTCTTGATGTTACAAAACCATACACAAACATGTATTGGGTTAAACATTTATTGGGTTATATCCCTTGAAAAGTCAATGTACACTGCTGCTTTGACGATATTTTTGTTATACAATTATTGACTAGTGAGCCATTGAATATGTTCGAATTACCAACCACCTTCTGGTAGGCAGTTGGGCATTTACACGAATAACCAACTGAGTCCCCTTGTTGACGTAGGGAGACGGAGTGATACCATCTGGTAGAATTCATCTAATAATTATCTTGTCAAATATCTGTTACTTTTTTTTGTGAAAATTATTTTTTGGTTTTAGAGAAATACATGTTATATTTGAATAACCAACTATACCTTCTGATTGGTACTAATAACCAAATGAATCTCCTGGACGTCGATTTTTCGCGAAGGCAGTGTTACCATATTATAAAAAAAACACATCTCTAGTTATATGACCGTAACATTTGTTTCATGAAAAACACTTCCTGTTTTCAGAGGAATATAATTATGTAATATACGAATTACCTTCTAGTATATAGTTTTGTATTCAGGCGAAAAACCAACTAAGTCCCCTAGAGGACTTAGGGAGTCAGGGTGTATCAATGTTAAAGAAGACATCTATCATGTGAATACCCTATATATTTATTCCGGAAAAATACTTTATGTTTTGATAGGAAAACATGCAAAGTTCGAATTACCGACTACCTTCTGTTGTTACTTGGGGATTAGCGTGAATTACCAACAGCGCGCTGGGTGATACCATTTGGTAGAATTCATCTAGCTTGTCATATACTTGTATGTATTACTTTTAGTCGGAAAAAACCAACTTTGGATAAAATTTACTAAGATTGTAATAGAAATAACACCATTTCAAGTGACTAACGAAGCTAGGGCTTTTTTTTTTGCATATTTTGAAATTTATTTGGTAATTTACGTGTTGTTTACTTTCTCTGTTCACTTAAAATATTTTACCTTTAATTTACATTACTGTACATCTGTAAAAAGTTTCAAGAACATTATCATGAGTCTGGAGGTTTGCTTCTTTTGAAGTATCATCTTATTTCCGCCAACAGAAATATTTTTAACCAGTGTAACTAGATTGAATTAACTTTCAGCTTACTCATTGCCAATATCAGAACTGCGATTCTATTTAACGGAACAGCCTGTCAACAATATTACTTATTTTCCTTTTACTACTCGTACGTTTGTGTAACGTCCTTTATCATAACCCCTCGAGCAAGGACACGAATGTCAGCCATTGTAAACCACTTTAGACCTTTCTATTTAGGTGTGAAAATTAATTTGCATATTAACTCAATTTCATGTTTACTAATGTGATAATGTATAAAGGAACTTCCAAAATAGTTATAAATCAGAGCGGGCGCTGTAGTGCAGTGGTAACACTGTCTGACTACAAATCTAGGGGTTGCGAGTTCGATCCCCCGCTACTCCACTACAATACTAACAATCTTTCGTATTTAAAAAGTTAAAATTAATTAATAAAAACTAATTACAAACATGACACTACTCATACACTGACGAAGTGGACACTACTGACACACAGAACACTACTGACACACTGGACACACATAACACTACTCAAACACTGGCACATAGGAAACTACTTACAAACTGACATGACATACCGCACACTACTCACACACTGACACACATGACACTACTCACACACTGACCTGACAGTCTGCACACTACTCACACACCGTACACTACTCACACACTGACATACCGCACACTACTCACACACTGACACACATGACACTACTCACACACTGACACACATGACACTACTCACACACTGACCTGACAGTCTGCACACTACTCACACACTGACACACCGCACACTACTCACACACTGACACACCGCACACTACTCACACACTGACACACCGCACACTACTCACACACTGACACTACTCACACACTACTCACACACCGCACACTGACCTCACACACTGACACACCGCACACTACTCACACCTGACACACCGGACACTACTCACACACTGACCTGACACACCGTACACTACTCACACACTGACACACCGC